TCTCTACAGTTTTGAGATTTTTAGAATTTTTAACACCTTTCCAATTTTTGAATAACTGGAATCCGTGAAATTTCAGAAATTTTTGAAATCCCAGAAATACCTTTAGAATTTTTAAATTTCCAGTTTTGGAGTCTTTAGAGTCTTTAGAGTCTTTAGCCTTGTAGAATCCTCAAAGTTCTCAGAGTCATTGGAGTTTGTCCATATTTTTCACACCTTAGAATAACTAGAATTTTTTTAGAATTTATAGAATTTCTACGATCCAAGTTCTTTACAATTTTTAATATGTTGTTGAATCTTTCTTCTATTTGGAACCTTAGAGCTTTAGTTGATTTAGAATCTTTAGTGTATTTACAATTTGCAATTTCTAGTGTTTGGAATCTTTAAGATCTTTAGAATGTGTCTTGTTTTTAGAATCTTTGAAAGCTTGGAAACTTTGTAACTCTTTTAAACCCTTGGAAACTTAGAAATCTTTTGAATCTTAAGATGTACGTACACTTATTAAAGTGTCATAAATTATTTAAACATTCCAACAGTCTAACTGAGTTTAAAAAATTAAGAGCTATTGGATAAAAATAATACAACTCCCTTCATTCAAGTTACTACTCTTTATATTGTTCAGCCTTATCTTAACAAGAACAAGCCCCACCCAGAGAGTATGTCATTTGCCAAAGTCAGTTTTATCTTAGTAAGTATTTGCCCCCACCCACCCATTATTTTCTTAGAGGGTATGTCATTTGCCAAGATCAGTCTGATCTTAGCTAGTACTAGCCCCGTCCACCCGGCGTCTATTTTCTTAGGAGGTATTTTATATGCCAAAATCAGACTTATCTTAGCTAATACTAGCCCCGCCCACTCGAGATGAGCTCATTTTAACGATTTTATTTCTGCTCAGTATAAGATCCACTTTTCATTCAGACCAAATATAATAATCACTGAAATGGAGAATAGGTGGGTGGGCGGGATTAATTATATTATAGTAAAAATTCTGCTTCATAAAATATAAATGTGGCAATCTCGAAGATTTTCGAGAACCACAAAGATACTTTAGATCCTCTTGATTCTAAAATTCTTGAAGATCCTTGGAATACTTAACTTTAGAAATGCTAAAGACACTAGAGATTCTAGAAATCACATTAATCTAGGAATCTTAGAGATTCTAAGGAAGGTTTTGCAAAATTTCTCATATACTAGAGATCCTCAATATTTTAATTGTTCTAGGTATCAGAGATTTTTAGGATTCCTGAGATTTTTACAATTTCAAAGATATTAAGTCTTCTAGAAGTCGAAGCTTATATATTTTAATGCCTCAAATGGGCTTAAAAATTCTGAAGTTGACGAAGATCCTGAAATACCTGACGATCCTGAAAGGCCAGAAAATTTTGATAATATTGAAAAACCTGAAAACTTTGAAAATCGGATAAAATAAAAATAATACAACTCTCTTCATTCTAGTTACTACTCTTTATATTGTTCAGCCTTATCTTAACAAGAACAAGCCCCACCCACCCACCCTTGATTTTCTTAGAGAGTATGTCATTTGCCAAAGTCAGTTTTATCTTAGTAGGTATTTGCTCTGACCCGCCCATTATTTTCTTGAAAGGTATGTCATTTGCCAAGATCAGTCTTATCTTAACTAGTACTCACCCCACCCACCCTCCCTCTATTTTCTTAGGAGGAATTTTATATGCCAAAATCAGACTTATCTTAGCTAATACTAGCCCCGCCCACTCGAGCTGAGCTCATTTTAACGATTTTATCTCTGCTCAGTATAAGATCCACTTTTCATTCAGACCAGATATAATGAATCACTGAAATGGAGAATAGGTGGGTGGGCGGGGTTAATTATATTATAGTAATAATTCTGCGTCATAAAATATAAATGCAAAAATGTGACAATCTCGAAGTTTTTCGAGAACTACAAACATACTTTAGATCCTCTTGATTCTAAAATTCTTGAAAATCCTTAGAATACTTAATTTTAGAAATGCTAAAGACATTAGAGATTCTAGAAATCACATTAATCTAGGAATCTTAGAGATTCTAAGGAAGGTGTTGCAAAGTTTCCCATATACTAGAGATCCTAAATATTTTAATTGTTCTAGGTATCAGAGATTTTTACGATTCCTGAGATTTTTACAATTTCAAAGATACTAAGTCTTCTAGAAGTCATAGCTTATATATTGTAATGCCTCAAATGGGCTTAAAAATTCTGAAGTTGACGAAGATCCCGAAATATCTGACGATCCTGAAAGTCCATAAAATTTTGAAGATATTGAGAAGCCTGAAAACTTTGAAAATCGGATAAAATAAAAATAATACAACTCTCTTCATTCTAGTTACTACTCTTCATATTGTTCAGCCTTATATTAAAAAGAACAAGCCCCACCCACCCACCCTTTATTTTCTTAGAGAGTATGTCATTTGCCAAAGTCAGTTTTAACTTAGTAAGTATTTGCCCCCACCCGCCCATTATTTCCTTACAGGGTATGTCATTTGCCAAGATCAGTCTTATCTTAGCTAGTACTAGCCCCGCCCACCCGCCCTCTATTTTTTTAGGAAGTATTTTATATGCCAAAATCAGACTTATCTTAGCTAATACTAGCCCCACCCACGCGAGCTGAGCTCATTTTAACGATTTTATTTCTGCTCAGTATAAGATCCACTTTTCATTCAGACCAGATATAATGAATCACTGAAATAGAGAATAGGTGGGTGGGCGGGGTTAATTATATTATAGTAATAATTCTGCGTCATAAAATATAAATGCAAAAATGTGACAATCTCGAAGTTTTTCGAGAACTACAAAGATAATTTAGATCCTCTTGATTCTAAAATTCTTGAAGATCCTTAGAATACTTAATTTTAGAAATGCTAAAGACATTAGAGATTCTAGAAATCACATTAATCTAGGAATCTTAGAGATTCTAAGGAAGGTGTTGCAAAGTTTCCCATATACTAGAGATCCTAAATATTTTAATTGTTCTAGGTATCAGAGATTTTTAGGATTCCTGAGATTTTTACAATTTCAAAGATATTAAGTCTTCTAGAAGTCATAGCTTATATATTCTAATGCCTCAAATGGGCTTACAAATTCTGAAGTTGACGAAGATCCTGAAATACCTGACGATCCTGAAAATCCAGAAAATTTTGAAAATATTGAGAAGCCTGAAGACTTTGAAAATCGGATAAAATAAAAATAATACAACTCTCTTCATTCTAGTTACTACTCTTTACATGGTTCAGCCTTATCTTAACAAGAACAAGCCCCACCCACCCACCCTTTATTTTCTTAGAGAGTATGTCATTTGCCAAAGTCAGTTTTATGTTAGTAAACATTTGCCCCCACCCGCCCATTATTTTCTTAGAGGGTATGTCATTTGCCAAGATCAGTCTTATCTTAGGTAATACTAGCCCCGCCCACCCGCCCTCTATTTTCTTAGGAGGTATATTAAATGCTAAAATCAGACTTATCTTAGCTAATACTAACCCCGCCCACTCGAACTGAGCTCATTTTAACGATTTTATATTTGCTCAGTATAAGATCCACTTTTCATTCAGACCAGATATAATGAATCACTGAAATGGAGAATAGGTGGGTGGGCGGGGTTAATTATTTTATAGTAATAATTCTGCATCATAAAATATAAATGCAAAAATGTGACAATCTCGACGTTTTTCGAGAACTACAAAGATACTTTAAATTCTTTTGATTCTAAAATTCTTGAAGATCCTTGGAATACTTAATTTTAGAAATGCTAAAGACACTAGAGATTCTAGAAATCACAGTAATCTAGGAACCTTAGAGAGTCTAAAGAAGGTCTTGCAAAATTTCCCATATTCTAGAGATCCTGAATATTTTAATTGTTCTAGGTATCAGAGATTTTTAGGATTCCTGAGATTTTTACAATTTCAAAGATATTAAATCTTCTAGAAGTCGAAGCTTATATATTTTAAAGCCTCAAATGGGCTTAAAAATTCTGAAGTTGACGAAGATCCTGAAATACCTGACGATCCTGAAAGGCCAGAAAATTTTGATGATATTGAACAGCCTGAAAACTTTGAAAATCGGATAAAATAAAAATAATACAACTCTCTTCATTCTAGTTACTACTCTTTATATTGTTCAGCCTTATCTTAACAAGAACAAGCCCCACCCACCCACCCTTGATTTTCTTAGAGAGTATGTCATTTGCCAAAGTCAGTTTTATCTTAGTAGGTATTTGCTCTGACCCGCCCATTATTTTCTTGAAAGGTATGTCATTTGCCAAGATCAGTCTTATCTTAGCTAGTACTAGCCCCGCCCACCCGCCTTCTATTTTCTTAGGAGGAACTTTATATGCCAAAATCAGACTTATCTTAGCTAATACTAGCCCCGCCCATTCGAGCTGAGCTCATTTTCACGATTTTTTTCTGCTCAGTATAAGATCCATTTTTCATTCAGACCAGATATAATAATCACTGAAATGGAGAATAGGTGGGTGGGCGGGGCTAATTATATTATACTAATAATTCTGCGTCATAAAATATAAATGCAAAAATGTGACAATCTCGACCTTTTTCGAGAACTACAAAGATACTTTAGAACCTCTTGATTCTAAAATTCTTGAAGATCCTTGGAATACTTAATTTTAGAAATGCTAAAGATACTAGAGATTTTAGTAATCACAAAGGTTTAATATTTTCACACACCCTTGACCCTTTGAACGACATTTTAAATATGTATCACCCGTAAAAACCCTTCCTGAAATGAGAACATGCACCCCTACATGCACAAATTGCACCCTTTGCACAAAGAAAAATTATTCCAAGACGTCCCTCATCTAAAATTAAAATTGTGCTCCACTAATACCACGAATAAAATTTCCGTAAAAAAATAATTGCGAACCGTGCTGTAATTTAACAAATCCATGACCACGGTGCGCTATTGATCACATGCATTAATAAAAACCAAGGTAATATAAGATCAAGATTTGCGCTCTAATGGCACAATTTAGCCCACGATGACCGACCAGAATTACTTCGATGTTATTGTCAAAGTTTACAACGCCGTGGGGCTAAAGAGAAGCTCACCTTTCCCTCTAAAAATTATTTCGAAGTATGTTTTATTCCCTCTATTGTTAGCTTTATGTGGGATGGTGGTAATAAACTTGAAATACAAAAGCCAAGATGTGTTCGGAGTAGTGGAGGTTTTTGAATCCGTGGCTAGCTTCGGACAAGTATTGTGAAGTAGTGTCCAAAATTTACACTAACTGATGGTTTCAGATGCTCATCCGTAAATTAATACTAATTCTATATTCGTCAAAAATTGAAAAAATTATCAATGAGAGGTCGCTTTTCTGGAGTTATGATTATCTTGGTGGAGACTTCAGTTCGCGACTAAATATGAAGAAAAATCAGGTTTTCACTAGACTAAAACTATTCTGGTTGATGTGTTGTGTCGCTGTGACTCTAGTGATTGTCACTCCTATCTTCATTGAAGAAAAATCTTTACCGAGCTCGTGCTGGATGCCCACCGACAACAAATTCTTCTTCATCGTTGTGTACATCCTTCAAAGTATATTTTTCATCGAATTGATACTAATTTCACCACCGACTGATGGTTTCTTCCTCTTCGTCTGCACAGATCTTGAAATACAGTTACAAGTGTTGAGCAACACACTCCAAAATGTACACATTGGAAGCAACCAAGAAAAGTGCTTTGAAAAATTGAAACAGTGCTCAGTTTACCACAGATTTTTGCTAAAGTAAGTCTAAAAATTAGACTCGACTTACTCTAAACGCATTTTTAGTGTACATGAAGATCTCAACACTGTCTTCTCTATATACTTCGTTTTACAATTTTTGATAAATATCATTGGAACTACGATGCAGTTTTACATTTTGAGCAATACGTAAGTCATTAGTTTGTGGCTAGTTGTAGGTTTAAAACTAGGTTTTAGGCCTGCTGATGTAACACAAGTAATGAGGTGCATTATGTACCTCATGACTGTGCTTTTTCAGGGTTCGATATCATTTCTCCCGGCTAGTAATGTCGAAATTGAGGTTAGAACCGAAAATCTGTAGCAATGGAGCTATAGTTTTTTTTCTAGGCGGAAAAACTTGCCAATGAGATTTACTGCCTCGATTGGTACAATTCGCCAAATTTGAAAATTCGTAAGTTTGTTCTATTCTGGTTGATGAAGGCCCAAAAACCGGTGCAGATGTCTGGGGGTGGTTTAATGACGGTTAACAGAAATGTTTTCTTACAGGTGAGAACTTTTAAATTATTTGTTCAATATAATTGTATAATTTTTTGTATTCCAGATTCCGCGAACTTCATTTTCGATTTGTACCCTGTTGGGATAAAAGCGAGAATAACCACCACTAATTATTTTAAAAATCGCAATGTACGTACTTTATTAAAAAATAAAATCACTCATCGCTTTCACGGAACGCCCGCTAGCGTTAATTTTATTTTAAAAATAATAGCCAACGCGCCAGACGTGTTAATAGAGGGATACTTTATTTCTCTTTGGATACGACGCATTCATCTAGTTCCACAATTGTTAAGTTCGCTAGGTAGATGAAAAGACCCCACAAAGGGTAATAACTCACGCAAAACACAATTTTGGGTCTTTGTAAAATATATCTGTTTATCGCTTGGTGTTTTGCGGTCGTTTCAGGCCAGCTGCTCTATCCAAACTTGGCCCGGACGTAATAAATACGATATTTGAATATGTTGAAACTATAGTGCTTAATATCTGCATCAGACATCCCCCATAGCCACCAATTAAAACATATAATTAACTGAACTACCCTATTGGAAAGTTTGATTCAATTAGAAATTTGTAAATTATCGGGCGGGAGTAATTAGTAGGGCAAAACGGAAATATCACGGTTAAGAGTATACGTTACAGTGTTTAACGTTGTTTGTTTGAGTTTTCGATCATAAACAAATATTGGAAATCAGTAGGCAGAGACCGATTCCAGGCGAATTTTTTAAATGTGTCAACAAAAATAATTATTGTCAAATTTTGTATTTATATTAGAATATCATGTAGATAGTAAAACGCTAACCAAAATTTGTCTAATCATCCCCACCCATAATCTGATGACGTAATCTCAAAATTTTAAAGTAAATCCTATCTAAAATGTCCAAAATATGGTTGTGATTTATCATTCCATTCATATTGACTCAAAAAAATTAATGCAGGAGCGAGGGAAGTTCTGTCAAAGCAACTTTTACAAAATTTCTAAAATTATCGGGTTTCAGTTGTGGCAAAATTTTCAAATTAAACCTTTGACGGAATTTTCAAGATTTCTACCACAAAATTCATGGACCTCAAAACTTTCTTTAGATCTTTACGATTTTTAGATTTTTGGGATTTGTTTTCTTTATTTTCTTTGACATTTTAAAAGTTTTAGAATCTTTGAAACATTTGAAAGAGAATTCATTTTTTTTTACTTATGGGTCCTTGGAGTCTTTAGATCTTTAAAGTTTTTACCCTCTTCAGAAGCTCTAAAATATTTATAAACTTTGAATCTTTATGTTAGTTAGAGTCTTTAGTATTTGGACTTTTTAGAATCCAGAGTCCTTAGAAGTATTTTCTATCTTTAGAAATTTTGGACACTTTAGAAGTGCAATTGAAGTTTTATAAAGTTTAGAATTTTTTCAATTTCTAGGAATATTAGTACCTCCAGATTCTTACTTAGAACTTTAGAACCTTAGTTTATTTAAAATCTTTAGTGTTTTTACAATTATAAATTTCTGTTCGAATCTTTACAATCTTTAAGTGCTTTTAAACCTTTTGACCCTTTCAAGATCATTGGAAATTTTGAAATCTTTAGAATCTCTAGAATCTTAAAAATCACTGGTATCAATTTTTTTAACTTGCGCACAATATGCCCAGAATCTCCAGATTCTACAAAATTTCTAAAATTATCAGGTTCCAGTTGTGCCAGAATTTTGAAATTTAACCTTTTCCGAATTTTTAAAGATCTAAATGTACCACATTTTTCCCACTTTCTAAATTTTTCCTGATTTTCCAAAATTTTAGACCTCTCTAACTATTTGGAATTTTTGGAATCACTGGAATTTTTGCTAACTCTAAGATTTATAAGATAATAATTAGCGTATTCAAGACCTCTAGTACTTTGAGGATCTATAGAAATTAAAGAAAGCACACTTCAGATCTTTACGATTTTCAGAATTTTTGCTTTTTTATATATAGTTTTTGGAATCTTTGAAATCTTTGGCATTTTCACAAGTGTTTTAGAATTCTTAGATTTTTGGAATTTCTCTAGAACCTTTAGAATTTTTGAAACATTTAAAACATAGTTTAAATTTTTTTTTTTATTTTTGACTCCTTAGATCTTCAGAATTTTTAAAATTTTTAGACTGTTCAGAGGTTTAAAATCTTTAGAATCTTAGAGTCTTTAGGATATTTAGAGTTTTTAGTCTTTATACTCTTTAGGCTCTTTAGACTCCAGAGTCCTTAGAGTCTTTCCAATCATTGGAAATTTTGGACGTTTATTTTAGAATTACTATAGAAGTTGTATAAAGTTTAGAATTTTTACAATTTCTTTAGTATTTACATTTAGAACTTTTAGCACTTTTCCAATTTTTGAATAACTGCAATCTGTGAAATTTCCGAAATTTTTGTAATCCCAGAAATACTTTTAGAATTTTTTAATTTCCAGTTTTGGAGTCTTTAGAGTCTTTAGACTTGTAGAATCCACAGAGTTCTCAGAGTCATTGGGGTCTGTCCACTCTTTAGAAATGTTTCACACTTTAGAATTTTTTTACTTTGCGAAATTTTCAAAATTTCTAGAGTTTTCAAAATTTCCAGATTAGCCCGATTTTTAAAATTTTCAAGAATACACAACATGCCCAGAATTTCCAGATTTTATAAAATTTCTAAAATTATCAGGTTCCAGTTGTGCTAGAATTTTGAAATTAAACCTTTTCCGAAATTTTCAAGATTTCTAAGTCTACTCGTACCACATTTTTCTTACTTTAAAAATTTCGCAGATCTTCCAAAATTTATGGACCTCAAGAGTCTCAAGTCTTCAAGATCTCTGGTGCTTTTATGATTTATAGAATTAAAGAAAGCATTCTTCAGATCTTTAGGATTTTTACTTTTTAGGATTTGTTTTTTTTATTTTCTTTGACATTTTAAAAGTTCACGTGATGTTTAAAGTTTTAGAATCTTTGAAATAGTTGAAAGAGAATTTTAATTTTTTTTGGGTCCTTGGAGTCTTTAGATCTTTAAAGTTTTTACCCTTTTCAGAAGCTCTAAAATCTTTAGAATCTTAGAGTCTTTATATTATTTATAGTTCTTGTCTTTGGACTCTTTAGAATCCAAAGTCCTTGACAGTATTTCCTATCTTTAGAAATTTTGGACACTTCAGAATTACTATATAACGTTTAGAATTTTCACAATTTCTAGGAGCATTAGTATCTCCAGATTCTTTAAAATTTTTAAGATTTTGTTGGATTTTTCTTATATTTAAAACATTAGACTTTTGTTTATTTAGAATCTTTAATGTCTTTACGATTAGAAATTTCGATTGTATGGAATTTTTAAGTTCTTTAGAAAGTCTCGAATCTTTGAAAGCTTTTAAACCTTTTGAACCTTTCAAGACCATTGGAAATTTTGGAACCTTTAGAATCTCTAGAATCTTAAGAATCACTGGAATTTGTATAATCTTTAGAACTTTCAGATTTTCATCATTTCTTAACACTTCAGTATCTCTAGAGTTTTAAGAATTTTGAGATTTTTACGATTTTTAGCACTCTTCCAATTTTTAAATAACTGGAATCTGTGAAATTTCCGAAAGTTCTGAAATCCCAGAAATACCTTTAGATTTTTTTAATTTCTAGTTTTGGAGTCTTTAGACTCTTTAGACTTGTAGAATCCTCAGAGTTCTCAGAGTCATTGGGGTCTGTGGAATGTTTAAGGTTCTTAGAATGTCTCTAGTCTTTAGAATCTTTGAAAGCTTTGAAACGTTTTAACTCTTTTAAACCTTTGGAAACTTTGAAATCTTTATAATCTTTACATAGTGTAAATTTTCAGAATATTAAGGTTTTGTAAACTTTTGTTTTTTTTTTTAATTTTTTGAATTTTTTTTAATTTGCGCAATTTTCAAAATTTCAGGAGTTTTCAAAATTTCCAGATTAGCCCGATTTTTAAGATTTTCAAGAACACACAACATGCTCTGAACTTCCAGACTTTACAAAATTTCTAAAATTATCAGATTCCAGTTGTGCCAGAATTTTGATATTTATCCTGTTCCGAATTTTTCAAGATTTCTAAATCTATCACATTTTTCCCACTTTAAGATTTATAAGATAATGATTACCGTGTTCAAGACCTCTAGTATTTTGAGGATCTATAGAAATTAAAGAAAGCATTCTTCAGATTTTTACGATTTTCAGAATTAGCATTTAGGATGTTTGCTTTTTTATATATAGTTTTTGGAATCTTTGAAATCATTTTCCAGATTTTCCTAAATTTATGGACCTCAAGTGTCTCGAAGTATTTGGAGTTTTTGGAATCTCTGGAATCTTAACAATCTTTAAGATTTAAGATAATAATTAGCTTGTTCAAGACTTCTAGTACTTTGAGGATCTGTAGAAATTAAAAAAAGCATTCTTCAGATCTGTACGATTTTCAGAATTAGGAATTAGGATTTTTCCTTTTTTATATATAGTTTTTGGAATCTTTGAAATCTTTGACATTTTCAGAGTTCACGTGATTTTTACAAGTTTTAGAATTTTTAGATTTTTGGAATTTCTCTAAAATCTTCAGAATTTTTGAAACATTAAAGTCTTCAGAATTTTTAAAATTTTTAGACTGTTCAGACGGTTTAAAATCTTTAGAATCTTAGAGTCTTTAGGGTATTTAGAGTTTTTACTCTTTGAACTCTTTAGGATCCAGAGTCCTTCGAGTCTTTCCAAGCATTGGAAATTTTGGACACTTTTAGAATGACTATAGAAGTTTTATAAAGTTTAGAATTTTTACAATTTCTTTAGTATTTACAATTAGAAATTCCTGTTGTATAAAATTTTTAACTTCTTTAGAAAGTCTCGAATCTTTACGATCTTTGAAAGCTTTGGAATCTTTAGAAATACTAGAATCTTAAGAATCACTGGAATTTCTACAATTTTTAGAATTTTCAGATTTCTAAACACTTCAGTATCTCTACAGTTTTAAGGATTTTGAGATCTTTAGAATTTTTAGCACCTTTCCAATTTTTAAATAACCGGAATCTGCAAAATTTTTGAAATCCCTGAAATACCTTTAGATTTTTTAAATGTCCAGTTTCTCTAGCATATTTAAATTTTTTGAAATTCCTGAAATCCT